CACCCCAGAGCATGTGGCAGCAGAAGGAGGCTGGGCCGGCAGCCATGATGAATGCAAACGTGTGGACATCTCTGCCCACTGCCAGGAAGGAGAGGAAGCGTACCCGACACTCCCCCAGCACTGCCTCTGTCTAGAGGGAGGGAACCCAGTGAGTAAGCTCCCCGACTCTCAGTGTTCTACCGGGCACATCCACCTTACTGGCAGTTCTCCCCCTACCCCCTAGTCTCCTCACCATGGCAAAGCACTGCCATACCTTCTCCCACCCCCGGTCTTTACCTGCTGGTGCAAGATGGTGAGGGTGGCAGGGGCCACGCTGACATGACTTGGGGTCCACTGCTCACGGCTACTGGAGGATAGGACTGACTCCAGGGCCCCATTTATCACATCTACCCCTAGAAGATATGGACACAAACATGGCTCTACCCTAGCCTTTCCAGCTCTGCTCAGTCAAGCCCAGGGCCTTCCCTCTACCCCCACCTCACCAGCCTATAGCCCCCAACGGTGCTGCACAGGTATCCCTTCACTGGTGCTTTCCTCCTTGGCCTCAGTGACTTGGCACTTTTCTAGTTTCTTCCATCTTGAATCCTAGGTTTGATTTTCTTCACTAACTCTGCCTCTTCCTCCAGCCCCCTAAACTGATTGACCCCCAAAGCTCTGATCTCCCCATTTCTTACTTTCAATGATCATCCACATTCAGGCCTTCCACGGCTTCACACAATAATGACTCCCAAATCAGCCCTCAGGCCAGTCCTCACCCAAAACCCTACCTTTGTTTTTTGAAGATACTCAATTGGGGAAATGTTTATTCTTCTGTCACTCTGTGTTAATTCATTAAGTGCCTTACAACAATCTCATAACAGATCCTTTTATCATCATGTTATAGATAAGGAAGTTTATAGAAGTCAAGTAATAAACCTTAGGTCACATGGAGGAATGGGGATCTGAACACAGGCAGTTTGCTTCCAGAGCCTGAGTTCTTAGCCAGGCCTTTCCCCTGACTCTTCTCTATATTGCTAATTTCCAGAACTGGAAGGGCTCTTAAACTCTTAGTTACACTTGATGATTTCTATAATGCACTCAAAGGCCAAGGAACCCCATATTCCTGGATTTTAGATTAATCAACTTTCCCTTGTAACACAATGGGTTCCCTCCACTCTTGCGTCCCACTTCTGCTTGCACTTAGTGGAGAACCCATGCATGTGGCAAGGTGGAGGCATGGGTTCTCGTTCCTGTACAGTCAGGAGCTAGCTGTGGAATCTTGGTGTCTTCACCCTTGCAGTGAAGATGTTAGCGTGAACAATGCCAATGCAAAAGCACACACCTCTGTGGTCCCTCCCAGGCCCTCTTGCCCCTTTCAGTGCCTGTGGGTTCCTAATAGAAGCAGACCATATGGACCTTTTGTGGGCAGAGGACAAAGTGTAGGATATATGTCTTCCTCGAAAGTCCTCTCTCTTGGCCTTGGTCATCTTACCTCTGGCTGGATCAAGGCCAAATTCCCAAGCATGCAAGTCCTCCAAAAACTGGCCTCATCTGAGCTGTCAAGCATCATATTTTACTGCTCCCTGAGTTTCAAATGACTGATGTAGCATTTATTAACATGTCATCTTGGCAAATGCCCCACGAGACAGGTGTGGAATACAAAGTGAGAGAAGAGGATGCCCTCGAGGGACACAGACTGTCACTGATGGAAAAGCCTCTGTCTGGCGTGCCCTCCCCTCTTTGACTGTCTTTGCAACTCCCAATTCTCACCCTTCAGGGTTCACTCAGCCTCCACCTGGGAAGCCTTCCCTGCTGCAGGGCAAAGAGAGGGCATTGCTGGGACAACTCAGCACAACATCTTGTAACTGACGGAAAATCTCTTCCACACTGGGCTGGCCATCTCAAGGACAGAAACCAAGTTTAAGTCATCTCTGTGTCACCAATCCTAGCATAAGGCTCATCTACTGAAGGATTTCCAAATGCATGAGCAAATAACCTGTAGGCAACACATGCTAATGCACCCAAACTGGTATAACTAACTAACCCAGGAGTCCACAGAAAGGTAATAATTCAGGCAGGAGTGGGTGAGCTGGGTTAGATTGCAGAAGACTGTGATATTTATGACACTGACGCCAGTCAATAGAAAGTCTCAAAGATCATGAGTGTGCATGAGACCTCAAAGTCAAACTGCTTAAGTAGCAGATGGGGCTGTGGGGCCGGGGCCTGGCCTCAGGGTATGAGGAGGATCAGCATGGAGGTGGGGAAAGCAGTGGAACAACTATGGCCTGGAAAAAGCCTGAGTTGCACTCCCAATGTTCCCTATCCTGATGGGTTTTTTTGTTTTTTGTTTTTTTTTTCATATCTATGTTGCCTTCCAACATACTATATCATTTACTTATTTTATTGTCTGTCTCTCCTGGCTAGAATGGCAGCTACTTGAAGGCTGGAATCTTTGTCACTTTTGTTCATTAGTGTATGCCAAGAACCTAGAATAATGCCTGGCACAAACCAGGCAGTCAGCAGTCATTTGTTGACTGAATGATTAACAAATGAACATCGCAGCTTCTGCGGGGGCCAATGTAAACTCCTGGAGGTTAAAAAGGGAGCATAAGATGAAACAAGAAGTGAGCTTAGAGCCTACTGGTGTGAAAGCTCTGGCTTCAACAGAGCAGACCCATCAAGCTGATGGGCAACAGAGGGGCAGTCAAGGGTTTAAGACAGACGATTTAGTGTAGAAAGAACCAGTAAGTGGCAGATGGATAAAGAAATAGGGGTAATAACAGGAAGAGGCTACAAGGGCTTAGAAGCTGAGGTAAGGAGGGTGGAGGAAATGAGAGCAAAGGTGTAGGGGTCAGCCAAGCCTCCTTCCTATTCCCTCAGCATACTTTTCTCACCTTCAGGTCCACATCTGTAGCAGTGACTTTGAATCCAATGGGAATACCCACTCCTCTGCGAATCTGGGCCTTCCTTTGAACCCCAGGTCAATCCCCACCCTTTCTACGTAGGATTCCCTCATTTAATGTAAGATGCTGGTCATTAAAGTCAGCATGGTTGAGGGGAAGAGCAGAAAACTGAAGGTGATGAGGGTCTGAGTCCTAGGTCTAGCACCTCCTGGCTATGTCATCTCATTCATTCTTTCATTTGTTTGTTTATCCATTCACCAAACATTGTTGAGTTCTTCCTAAGTGTGTTTTGACAGATACCCGACCACTTCTTGAAATAGTCTCTTTTTTCCCTCTGGCCTCTCCTTCTGTTCTCACTATCCTTGCAGTTTCATCTTCCTCCACCACCCGTTAAATGTTGGAAGGCCTCAAGGCTAAGGTCTAACCCACCTCCCTTCTCACTGCAGGCCACCTACTTTCCAGGGTCAATCTTCTCCACATTCATGGCCTTGATTATCTCTATAATCCACTGATGCCCACATCTGTATCTCCAGCCCAGGCTTCTCCTCTGTGAATCCAGCTGCCTACTTGAATTTGCCACTCGGCTTCCCCAAGGCGCCTCAAACTGGCCTCTTCCAGTGCCTGCTACCTTTACAGAATGGCCCCACTGTCCACTCAGTTCCAAAAGCCAGGAAGACAGGGGTTATCCTCAATGCCTCCGTCTTCACCACACATTCAATCAATCACTAAGGTCTGTTGACTTTAATTGTCTAAATATTTCCTGAATCTACACACTCCTGTCTAAATATCTCTTGAGTCTACATACTCCCCTTCAGCTCCACCAGAGTCCAAGATATTCTTCATACTGGCCACCACTACCTCAAGATCTTCCTGAGTTCTTCATCTACCTCCACCCACTGATTACCTTTCTCCATGGTACAGCCAAAGTGAGCTTTACAATATTCAAATCTCATTATGCCAAGTGCTCTCCTGAAAACTCTTCCATAGTTCCTTGCTGCTCTTAGGATGAAGAACAAATTGTTAACATGGCCTGTGAGGTTCCACGTGGTCTGACCACTGCCCAGCTCCCAGCCTCACCTGGCACCACTGGCCTTCTCTCAATGCCTTTGAGAACAAAGTGCCTTCCACTCTGGGTTCTCACATACCCCGTTCACTCTGCCTGGAATGATCTTCCCCTACCTCAGTCCACTCTCCATCCTACTTTATCTCCTTAGATCCTCTCCATTTTTTGATCTCAGTTCAAATGTCACTTTCTCAAGGAAGTCTTTTCTGAATCCCTTAACTAAATGAGGTTTCTCTGTTATATAGTTTCATAGGACCTTGTTACTTTCTTTCAATGAATGATTCAAATTGTAATTATACATTCACTTGTGTGATTTGATTAATTCCTATTTTTTCTACTGTTACCTCCATGAAAGTAGGCCTATGGCCATTGTTCCCCCAGGACCTGGTACATGGTAGGTTTCATAGGTATTTGCTAAGTGAATGAACAAATAAATAACAGGTATTGTGAATGTACTGGAAATATGAGTGAACCGGACAGTCTCTACCTTCAATTCCCTTATCCAAAAAATGAGGATTATCAGAATCATAATCTCATAGGATAATCAAGAATTAAATGACATAATATACAAGGAAGTACTTTACAAGCAATAAAGCATGTGACAATCATGCTCACTGTTTCCTCTGTGGATGCTCACAGCCCATAGTTGGTGCTGTAATGCCGAACCCAGCTCCCAGCTGCTGCCTGGTGTCTCCAGTCATCTAAGACCTGCCCAAACCAATCAAAGCTTTTCTCTGGGATTCAAGAATGCCCTGTTCACTGGTTCACACTCAGTGAAGACATGCCAATTGTTGTAATAGGCAGGACACAGAGTGCAGCTGAGACAGATGTACATGAGGGTGGCATGCATAATGAAGGGCAAGGTGACATCAACCATGAAAAAGATCTGGTAAAAGAGGTATTAGAAGGCAGAAGGTGGGGGCAGAGCTTTACGATCAATGTGGTGGTCCCTGGATGAAGGAGGACACACATACCAACAGGTTTAGCAACAGGCACATTCCCCAGGTAATAGACTTGGAACTTTTGCACCAACTCATTCTTAGGCGCTGGGAATTCCACTGTGGGAAAGAAGAAGAGGATCAATTGTGGTGGCAGATCTTGCTCACTCCCAGTCCCCACCACCAGGGCATAAGCTGGATCTTCTAGCCAAGGCCCTACCTCTACCCCTTTCCCCTGCCTCCCTTTAACCAAAGTCCCTCCACTTATTTGGTCCAAAGAATTTAGTCTCCATTGTCCATTTTTCTATCATGACTGTCCAGTAGATAGTGCCTCTTTTTGGGTCACCCCACCTTTGCTAACAAAGGTGAGCCGGACTTGGCGGGGTTGTGACACTGACCTTGGAAAGGGACATCCACAAGTTTAGAGTGATCCAGGGAGAGTCCATTTACCAAGCAGCGGGCATTACGCCGTTCAGCCATGATCTGAGGATGGAGGAGCAGGGGGAAGGAGTGGGGGAGGGTCCGTTAGGGAATCCTCTACCTGCATGCACCCACCTCCACCCAGTGACCCCACCCCCACCCTTATAGAGCAAAGGTAGCAGCTAGTCCAGGGAGTGGAGGGGGCCGTGCCTTAGAGCAGATCTCATGCAGGCTGGTGGCGATGTTCTTGGCCGGTGCCTCACAGCGAAACACGTGGCACTTGAGCATCTGGGTCAGCTTATCACGGGCTACGTAGGCAAAGTCCCTGTTGGGGAAGGGCTATCTCAGTGTCTCCCAGCGCCATCCAGTGCTGAGAGCTCATCCCCGCACCATCCATACCCACCCCCAACCCGTCCGTCGCAACTCCTCCAGGGCTTCTGCCCCCAGATGGTGTCCTGTGGGTGCAGCCTTTTGGCTGGAGGGCAGACAGGCATGCATGCTGAGGTCAGGGAGAATAGGTGAGCACAGCGGGCAGGAAGAGGCAGGGCAAAATAAGGGAACTTGGGTGCTTCGAGGCATCGAGTCCAGGAGGAGGAAGGAAGTAAATAGGCATAGTACCTCTCTCTGGGTCCGGCAGCACAAGAGAGGCAAAGAACAGAGTTAGGGAGGAGGGCCCCATTCTGGCTGCTGGTTGACCCCACCCAAGGATCCCAGACCCTGCGCCCACCTTCCACTGTCCCGCCCGACGCCCCACACACGAATGCTGACGATGGGCTGGGTGTGCAGCAGGGCCTGACTCTGTGGCTCCACCAGCTTTAACGTCTCATCCTCCAGCTGTAGCAGCAGATCCTTTCCCTGCAGGCCCAGGAAGTAGGCACTCAGTGGAGCTCCAGCTGAGGTGACTGAGCTCAACCACCTCCAGCTCAGGGGAGTTCAGCCACAGCTCTGAGACCCTTGTTTGGCTGTCAGACCACCCACTTTGCAGGCTGCATTTGGGTAGAGTCACACCTGTCATCTCTTACTCCTTTTATCATTGCCATCAGGTTAGGCAACCATCCCCCAAGGTCCCAACCTGAGATCACACAGCCATCTCACAGAACTATCACTTGGGGTGAGACAACACCTCCTTCCCTCAGCCCCCACCTGGGCAGCTCTGCCCTCCGATCTTTCACAGTTCCCTTCACTTCACCACACCACATCCTGCCGGCCCAGGCCCTCACCTCTCCCCAGCCCCCAGACATGGGGTCGTGCAGATCATTTTTGTGGTAGCAGAGCTGACGAATGCAATTGTTAACAGCCACGCTGCTGCGTCCAGGGGCCAGCTCCTCTTCAGTCATCTCCACCCAGCCTAGGGAGCGTACAGCGAAACACTGCCAGACACACAAGAGGGGGTGGGAGGTAGAGGGTCTGAGCTACAACTGGAGGAGCCCCCAGCACAGCACACAGAGGGCTTTGCTGAGACGAGAGGAGTCCCTGACTCAGACCATGATGGGTGGAAGGGTGTTCTGAGCTAAGACTGAGAAGCTCCCCAAACAGGAGATAGTTGATGGGAGGGGTGATGGTCTCAGAGGAGACCTCTGCTAGTACGAAGAAGCATCTTAGCCAGGCCTGGAAGAGCTCCCTGTCAGGCCGCTGAGCTGGTTGAGTTAAAAACTGAAGTGCCTCCAGCCTGCACACAGGAGTCTGTGCTGAGACTTGAAGAGCCCCTAACTCAGGACCTGGGGAGCTGTACTGAGACCAGAGATGCCCCTCTAGAACCTGACACAAGGGGCTCTCCTACACACAGAGGGGCTCCATCTTGGAGAATGGGGATCGGTCTTGAACAAACCTTGATCCCTGGGTTGGCGTTCCTTTGGGGCAGCTTCTCCTCCTCTTGGGGCAATGGCTCCGGGCTAAAGGCAGATAATAACACTTGGTACAGGCCCCCAGACACGGAGCTGTCCCAAGGCCCATTCCAAAAGGATCCATCTCCCTGTCTACCCACTGTGTTGCACCTTCCCACTCACCTGAGGCTCTGAGCTGGGAAGGGCAATGTCCCCTCCTCAGGGTCCTTCAGTCCCAAATCCATCGGGGCCTCTTCACTGGGTTCATCCTTAGGAAGCAGAGAGAGGAATCAGGACCAAACACATGCCCCTTCTACAGCTCCCCCATTGTGAAGCAGGTTCCCCCACTCACCTTCCAGAATTCTCCATCCTCAAAGCCTTCTCCATGGGAAAAGCCTGTCCAGGTGAGCTGGGAGGGAGGATGGGAGCAGTGAGCAAGCGACTCACCTTGCTCTAGCAGTACCACCCCTGCAGCCTGCTTAAAACACAATAGGCCTGTGAGCCTCACCTGGGACTCCTCGCGGGGACTGCTCCCCTGTGAGGGGGAGGCCCGGCCTGGGGGCTCCCACTGGGTGGTCCCCGTCGGAATGTGCCAGTAATAGGTCCCTGAGGTGTCCTGAACCCTCATCCATCCAGCCGGCAGGTCGGAATCCGTCTCGAAGGCGTTGGGGTTCCAGAAGGAATCTGCCAGGTCGGGGGCTTGGTGAGGGTCTGCCCACCCAACAAGCAGACAGTGGGTGCTTATGCCCAGGCCCCTCCCATGGTGGAGAAGAAGGGGTGGGGGAAGGGCTCCAGCACAACATGGTTCCTGCTTCCTCCTAGAGCCTACAGTATGGAGGCATAACATGGGGAGCCACCAGCAGGGGACACGGCTCAGGTTTCCTCCTAGGCTCTGCTCTCAGATAATGTGGCCACATAGAGGGAAGGAGGAAGGCAGAAGGGAGATTGGGTGACCCCAATTGACCTCCTGTCATACACATCCATATCTCAGGTGCGCACACTTACCAGCTCCTGCACACACATGTGCACACAGGTACATAACACATATAAGCCCTATTACACATCTGTGCAGCCACCACAAACACAAGGGCATGTACACACAGAAAATGGGCAAACATACACACCAACTCCAGCCATACACTAATGCAAACACCTTACACAGAAGTGTACACACACAGTTATATATACAGCCCCTGCCACACACGTGCAGAGACCACTCCCACAACAACCCCCAACACATGGGGGGTACCCCCTCCTGTCATACACATCCATATCTCAGGTGCGCACACTTACCAGCTCCTGCACACACATGTGCACACAGGTACATAACACATATAAGCCCTATTACACATCTGTGCAGCCACCACAAACACAAGGGCATGTACACACAGAAAATGGGCAAACATACACACCAACTCCAGCCATACACTAATGCAAACACCTTACACAGAAGTGTACACACACAGTTATATATACAGCCCCTGCCACACACGTGCAGAGACCACTCCCACAACAACCCCCAACACATGTGCGAGTACCACATAGTGAAAGCACACTCAGACACAACATACGTGAACCACGTGTGTGCAGACACCACAGATGCTCACACCCTGACTGCTGCCACACAAATGCAGACAAACATTTTGTGCCCGTGCTCACGTACTGCGAACCTGTGACATATGCCCCTCCTCCCCTGGCCGACCACACCACTCCAGCCCTGCAACCCAGCTCATATCTCATCCCCTACTGCTCTCCCTGCCGGCCCCGCCCCACATCATGCCCAGCCCCATGCCACCCCTCACCTGGACTGCTGTCCTGCAGGATGATGGCCAGGAAAAAGTCCTGGGAGAACATGGCGCTCGTTCCCAACTCCTCCTGCCTCCACCCTCCCTCCTCACAGCCCCTCCAGCCCAGCCAGCTGGGCTCACAGCCTGGTGCTGGGCTGCAGAGAAAAGCTCATACCGCCCCCTTCTCACCAGGGCAGAGCGCTTGCCAGGCAAGATCCTCCCCCGCCTGGAGCTCACTAGGGAGGGGCCAAGACCACCATGGGAGGGAACCTCCTTGGGTGGAGATGAGGGGCTCAGGAGACCCCAGCCCTTCCTACTCACATCTCTTCTTTTTATCCTGGTTCCCTGCCCCAAATCCCAAATCTCCATCCCACCCCACAGTGGTCACCGCAGTGCCACAGTCAAACCCAGTCTTAAGGACAGGAAGAGGCTGAGCCCCTCGGGAATACCCCAGCCACCTGGGGCTCCGAAAAGCCTGGAGCTCTCAGCACAAACAGGGTGTGGCTTCAAGGATGTCAGGGAGGCCTTCCCTCCCCAGAACCTTCCCAGCAGTTTGAGCCTGAGAATGGGCCTTGAGGGCATGGGCCCCGGCAAGCTTGAGACTGCGTTTGGGGCTCCCAGCACCAACCCCCCTCACCTGCCAGGGCCCAGCAAGGCTGCAGTGTCTCCTCGGCAACCGCAGCACCAGGATGGGCTGGGAGCGCCCAGACTGCTGACGTGCTTCCCGTTACCAGGGAAACCAGGAATCCTGACTGGTCCAAGAGGCAACACTGAGGGACAGGCAGTCCCCAGACCCAGGCTGCTGAGCAACCAGGCACAGAGGGGCTGGGAGTGGGTGTGGTTACATCAACGTGGCTGTGCACCTGAGGTGAGTTATTTGGATTGGTGCATCACCACCCTCCCCTTCCAAATGGGGTGGGCCCACAGAGGAGGGGCTCTTCCTGCCCATCCAGCCTTCTAGGCAACCGTTACCACCTCTTCTCCCCTAACCCTCACCTCGTCTCGGGTCCTAGGGAATTAGAATGCCTGCCCTTCCCCCAGAGACCCTCCACTGCCTTCCAGGTTCTACTGTCAAACCCTCCAAGAACACCAGCACCCAAGGCAGCCCTGCCTTCCACAGCCACACCCTTTTTCATGAAGGTCATACACCTCTCGAATCTAGGAACCAATTCACTGTCTTCCGACTGAGTCACACACACCAATCCATCTGCCATCCCTGTCAGCCTGTACCTTCTTGCTTCAAAGAGCTTCTTCCTTCCGATCTGTCCTGGAGGGGTCATTCTTCTGCTCTGACCATCTGGGAGGCCCTTCTGGAGCTTGGCACATCTCCTCCAAGCACAGTCCCACCCAGGCCTTTGCTTCTACATGCAGGCATTTCTTCAGAAACATATACCTTCACTCCTGCATTGATTCATTCAGACACTCACACACAAATTCAAAGGTTCAGTATCATTCCTTCATTCATCCATCTATGCATGTTTTGGTGCATAAGCCAGGTGTAGTCACTTGCTCAGCAGTCAGTGACTCCTGTCATGCTCTCTCTTTTTCTCCACCCCACTACAGCCCAGACTACTAGCACTTCTTACTTGGATCATTGCAACAGCCTCACAGTGGTCTCCCACGAGTCTAGTCTCCTCCAGTCTGGGCTGCACACTGAAGCCCAAATGATTGTTCTGAAATGCTCAACTAATGAAGTTACTCTCCAGTTGAATACTCTTAATTATCTTCTCCTTGCCCTCAGGATAGAATCCAAATTCCCCCACAGGGTTTGTATGCTGTCAGGAGGCCATAACCATCTGCCTATCAGCCTTCTCTCTGACTACCTCCAGCCTCCTCTCTTCTCTCTGCTTGGGACATGCTCCTCATCCTCTCCAAGCCAAGCCTCCCTCCCCTCAGTCTTCACCTGGCTATCACTAACTCCTCTTCAGACATCAGTGTAAAGGTCGCTTTACAAAACGGACTCAACCCCCTGTCTTCCACCACAAACACGGGCAGAGTTCTTAGGTGCCCTTCCTGCACCTCCCCCATCCCAGAGCACATTATGCTGATTCTAATGGCCTGTTTACTTCCCCCTCCCCACTAGACTGGGAGTGTCATGAGGGCAGGAACATCTTTCCCCTGTAGCATGCATTTCAAGCATTTAGGATGGGGCCTGGCACAGAGTATGAACCCAACACAGGTAGTAAAGTTCATTTATTCATCACTCATTCATTCATTCACTCATGTACTTATGCATTCAATCAATAACTTTGTGGCGATCCTAAGGTGGGAAGGAGAAAATAATTTTTTGCTCAATTCTATACCCAATTCCTATCGGTGTCCAGACCTCCTCTGTGGCCTTCATGGTCATAGCAACACAATCACAAAAAGAGTAAGCCCTAGGCTGGTCCCACACTTCTACCCTCAATTTCCACTGCCTCTGCCATAGTTCAATCCTTGACCACACTCTTGCCACACCAACACTCTTGCTGAGGGGGCTGCCCGTGCCTGGCATACCCTTCTCATTTCTCCAGCAGTTTTGTCCTCCTACTGCCAGAAGCTTCATAAGTGCGGCCACCACAGTAGCCATTCCAGGAGACCCTGAGCAACCAGGTCCTCCATTATTTGGCCTCTGACTCACACCCTCTAGGGCCGAGGTTGCAAACAGCAACCTGCAGACTGGTGCAAGACTCAGATCAATTTTGTGTGGCCTGCACGGTGCTTTTGAAAAAACAGAATTGATTGCTAACATTTAGAAACTGGAATATTTCACATCAATATCAAGTTTTCATTTTCCATCGAAAAGTTACATGAACTGGCTCCACTGAGGTTATATTTTTCCCCCACCCAACCCTATAAATAACCAGCTGAACTGGAGCAGTTTAAAGAGGGTCTGGGCAATGACCATCAAAGGCCACTGACATCACAAAAAAGAGAGACAATTGGACTTCGCCTTTGAGAGAAGTACTCAATACCACCTTTGAAGTGTTCTTGCAAAAACAAAATGCAAAAAACTCTCAAGTCTAAATCTGATCAAGGCTCTAGAACTCACTACCAATCTACAGGAAATCCAGGGGAAGCGGCACATGTTCACCACCACTACTGGGAGAGAGCCTGCAATCCCAATCATGGAAAACTCAGGACAAACACCACAGTGGCTTCAATTTAAAAAACAAAAAACTGCAAGCAAAAATAGAGATAGAAAGATAACATGTAGATCAAAAGAAATCTTAAGAGACATATCAACCATCAAAAGGTCTGGACCTATTCGAATATTGATTCAAAAAATAAAACTTTTTTTAAAGGTGGGGGAGGACATTTATTAGACAACTGAAAAAATGGAAGCATTAACTTGGATATTTGATGATATTCAGGAATTGTTAAATTTTTGTAGACATGGTAATGGTATTGTGAATTTTTACAAGAGTATTTTCTCTTACAAATGCATGGGCAAACATTTATAGATGAAAATATTTGCTTTGAAATAACCTACACTGGGGCCCAGGGTAGGTGGGGGTACAGATTTATCAAGATTAGCCAGGTGTTGATAATTGTTGAAACTCGGTCATAGGTAAATAAATCAGGCTCATTATTCTATTCCATCTACTTTTGTATATGTTTGAAAATGTCCATAATAAAAGTTTTGAAAGGGGACAGTGCGCTGCCCGTGGCTCCTCTGAACCACATGCTCCCTGAAAAGGTTCCACGGTTTGGGATGTGGGAATGGTGCCCGCAGCCTGGTGTGAGGGAGTCTTTCTTTACTTACACCTGCACCCACCAAATGTCTGTATTGTGGCTATGCCCCATTATCTCTGCCCTGTGCTCTCAGCTCTATCTATATCTCTACATGACAGTAGCAAAAGAGGAAAGTCAACTTATTTAAATAGGACACATTTAATGATCAATACTTGGAATCTGACTATCTATTCTTTTTGTCCGTCCCCCCGACAAAGCAGCGCATGTTTATTATTCCTTTGGTTCCTAACTTTTTTAGTCAATAGCCTATTCCTGATACAAAGGATACAAAACAGGATTCTTACAATGTCCAGCATGTGCTCTGCACACAACATCCCCCAGTCTTTCCAAATAGACCTATGTGGGGAGGTGCGGCTGCTCCCTCTGGACCGGCCTGTTAAAACTTGGCCCAAGTGCACCCGGTTCGTCATGCTTTGTGTACAAGTGGCAGGCTACCACGGCACCCAGAGCTCAGGTCTGGACTCAGACCTGGTATAGAGCTCAGTTTTACTGTGATATCGGACTGCCTGTGATTTTAGGAAAGCTACTGCATCTCTCCAGGCCTCTTTTTTGTCACCTATAATATGGGCATAATAATGGTATCTACCTCACAGCATTACTGTGAGGATTAAACACGACATTACTGAGCACAGGGCCAGTACCTGGTACATGCCCCGTAAGTGGACCTAGTCAGCCACTCGTCAGGGTGTGCATGATGGATGGGCTGATCAACTTGTTCAAGCACTCCCTGAAGGCAGAAATGACTTCCTTCAGGAAAACCCGGCCATGGCCTGCTGACTCATGCCCAGGTTGGCCCTACCCTCTGTGTGGAGAGGCCTGCCTTCTGCCCTCCTGCCCTCCCACATTCCCCATATTGAGTTCCACAGGTACCTGTGTCCTCCGGGGAACCATAGGAGGGGCTGCCCTGGGATAAGGTAGCCCAGCTTGAGTCCTCGTCACTGGCTGCACTGTTCCTCATGCCAAACAGGAGGCTAGCACTCTTGCTGTGCTCTCGGGGGCCATCTGCAAGTGCTTGGGGTCCAGGGGGCACCTCCACACTCTCCAGGGGCTCAGGTAGCCCTGGGGGAGAAGACAAGTCCTCCTCCTCCTCGTCCTCTTCTTCATCATCCTCCTCGGCCTCCCCTGCCGCCTTCTCCTCTCCCTCATCTGCCCCCTGATCTTGGGTGCTGATGATCAGGCCAGGTCCTCGGAGCCCTCGGTTGGCCGCGTTGTGGGCAGAGAGCTCCAACTCAGAGTACAGGTGCATCAGGCCTTTGGGGCCCAAGGGTGCTGTCTCAGGCTCTTGGCTGGCCTCCTCTGCCAGGGTCAAGGTCACATTGCGGTTCTGGTCACGGTGGGCTGTGGCAGCCCGCCGGAGCTGATTCTGGCCCTCCTTCAGCCACTTGGCATTGGCAGGGCCCGGCTCAGGCCCACCACCCTCTCCCATGGCGCTGCGTAAGTCTTTCGGTCCCACAGCCGTGGTCTGCAGCTTGGCGTTGAGCAGCTGGTTGTGGGCAGCGTGCAGGGGTAGGGGTAGGCTCAGGGCGGGGCCTCCGTGGCTGTTGGCATTAATGGCCGTCTGGCTCAGTGATGATGGAACAGACATGGCCTTAGCAGATCCTGTGGGGGAGGGGGCCAGAGAGATCAGGTTGAGCCTCCAGCTCAGGATAGCAGTACCCCTGCCTCTGCCCCAGGGCTGCACCTCCTCACCTCCCTTATGCTCAGCAGGCCGGCACACACTGCTCCGTGTCCTATGAGCTATTTTCCCATAGACATGACTAGCTTAACTCTTGTCCCCCATCACCATCACCCCTATTCCAGGCCGGGCCCAAGTCCGAAGCCCACTCCATCCTCAAATCCCCAGCCTCAAGTTTCCTGGGAAAGCACAGCCAGCCCCTGCTTTGCCCTCACTCCCAACAGCAGAGCCTCTACACAATGGCTCTCTGTGCATCCCCACCCCCAGCTCATCTGACTGGGGCTTACTGTGCCAGGGACACAGCTGGCATGGGACTGGCTCATGTGTTCCAGACACTGGACACTGACTGTCCCCTTCCTCCTGCCACACTGCTATCCATAGCCCTACCACTGAGCTCCCCAGGCTGTGTTCTCATCCTCACAAACCACTGGGCTCAACCAGACCAGAAGCCCACCCCCTCTAAGGGACTGTGAGGACAAGAGAGAAAGAGCAAAAGACCCAGCCCTCAGGGAATGGCCGGGGAAAGCCGGTCACAAAGGAGGGCCTCCGGCTCCAATTTGTGGCTCCTTTGGCTTGTTGAAGCTATATTTTGTTGATTGTTTCTCCAAAGTATCTCACCTTTAGAGCACCAATCCCTCTGTCAACCCTATAATGACCCATGCCTGGGTCACTGCATGAGCCTTTGACCTGGACCCTCCAGCCCTTCAGGTCTTTGCCCAAATGTCACCTGATCTCAGTGAGACCTTCTTGAATAACTTTTTAAAACTACAGGCCACCATGCTCCCTCTCAGCAATCCTCAAATCTTCCCTAGCACCTAGCACCATCCAATAAGCTATTATAATTCTAATTATTACTATTACGATTATTATCATTATTGCTTTGTTTAATCATTGTCTCCTTATGTCTATAATTTCAGTGCCATGCTGGTGAGAATTTTGTCTTTTTTTTTTTTTCAGTGCAGTATGCCTAGATCTTAACACAGTCCTGGTACAGAAGAGGAACTCAGATATTCAACAAAATATGTGTTAAAATATTTATGAATGTGTCCTCCTCTCTCTCCCAGGCCCCATTTTAGCATCTCCCCTGCCAGTTTCAGAAAACACACTTTGGTCATGTTACTGTGTCTTACCCATTACTCAGGCACCCTAACCAAACTCCACCTGTCCTTCAAGTGAAGGGATCTCTTAAACTAGTGACGGCCCACCCACTCTGTCCCCTCGGGCCCCCTCTTCTCTCCTTTCATGGATCACCTTCTCCACCTATGAATCCTTCCAGCCCCATCACCCCCGTAATCCCCCCTCAGGACCCCATCCCTACCTCCCCACTCTCTTTGACCTTCCACTACTGGCTACTCTCCTTCCCTGATCCGCACTATAAAGCGCTTGCTCCCTGGACTCTCACTGGCCTCTCACATCACAGTTCATGCTCCCTGACCAACCACTTCTTCTCTCATCCTGACCCTCTTAGACAGCCACTGCCCTTTGGCACCCCCTGCCCCGAAACCCACAGGGTTTTCTCTTCCTACTTGGCCCACAACACACAACTCTCCCTCATTGACGGCCCCTCAAATGCACGCCTTTCTGACTCCCACTGTACTGTTCTTTCTTCTCAATTTCCATCTTTCTCCCTGTTCCCCACTAAGAAGTTCTTTCATTCCTTAACCCTTTGCTCCAGTTCCCTCTGCCATCTCAGTGTTGTAACTCTCAGCACCTAGCACAAGTTGCAGTGAGGTGTTTTAGGCTGTCAAGCAAGGCTCTACCAACTCTCAGGTGCAGTGCATGGTTCTGAGGCAAGAGCCAGAGCTGACCTCTCTGTCCCTTCCGGCTCCCCTGACCCTAGCACGATGCTATGTATCTTCTGTGAAATAAATGAAAAAAAAGGCTCCTGTCTGTGTCTGCCTCATGTGTAACTGCTGGTCTGCTCACTGTGGCTCCACCTGGGCAATGAGAAAATTTGTGGTCACTGGCACAATCAAGAAAAACAATGGCTCTGCCTCTACCCAGAACCAAGTAATCTTCCAAAAATGGAAACCAGATTGTGTAATTCCCCAGGTTGGAAAATTAAGTGGCTCACCGCTGTCTTTAGGGTAACTTCCACGCTCATTAGCCAGACACCAAAAGCCTCCTTGAGCCAATCTCAATGACCTCTTGGACCTCCTCCTCCTCCCTGTCTCCTTCACGCTTTTCACTCCAGCCACAGGAAATGTGGCAAATTCTAGAACATGTCACACTCTCGCAGTCCTTGCTCTTTGCTTATCCTCAGCTTGTCTCCCCTTGTGAGAACCTCTGCTTCATGTTTCAAAACTTGGCTCAGTGGTCACAGCTCCTAAGCAATAAGCCTTCTCTATTCAGTCTTCTCTCCCCCATCCTTAAATGACTATTCCCATCTTGTGCCTCATGATACCGAGCATTCTAACAGAACATCTGAGACTGTGTCTTGCTCAACTTCACATTCCCACGAGCAAGGAGAGTGCACTGTGCATCTGCCACAGAGTGGGCCCTCGGTGTGGAAGAAAGGGAGGCATGGAGGTGACAGACATGGAGTGAGAAGAACTAAGAATCTTAGACCTCGTTAGGTCTTGTGTGGCCCCACGGGCTGGGGATGGGCAACGAGACTGTTAGGGCTGGTGCTGGAGAATGATGAAAAGCTCCTGAGAAAGAGGTAAGACAGGATAGGGATCTCAGACAGGTGCAGGCTGAGATCTAGGGAAAAGGGGAGGGAGGGAGTTAGCTTAAAATGACATCCTGGCCCTTAGGCTGATAGAGTGGCATCTCCATGAGTTTCAGGAGGTGGAAGACCCCATGACTCTGGCAAGCTCATGATGAGCCCTTCTCTGAAGCAGTGGTGTATGGAGCCAGGTTATCTAGAGGGCAGGCTGGTACCAATCTCATTAGCCATTGGACATGTGATCTGGGAAGGGCACATGCACTGTGAGGCTGGGACAGTGAAGAGACAGGTTGACTTCAGGACAGCCCTGTCCATCTGTGGTCACCAAGGCAGAAAGTACTGGGGGAGGAAAAGGGAAGTTCTGCTATAAGTGCTAAAGCCTGAACACCTAGCCCAAGGCAGTGTAGTCACCATCACCTCACTTCTTAAGATCAAAAGATGACCAGCCGCCCAATACCTTCCAGAAGGGGCACGACCCAACCTCTCCCCTCTCACTGGGGTTATCCATACCTGGAACCTCTCAAAAGATGGAAAGAGCCCAAAGGACTCTGGGAGGCAGGGAACTGGGCAGGGAATTCAGGGCAGAAGCTAAGAGTGGCCACTAGGCCTGAAGAAGCTGATGTAAAACCATGGGTGGGGGGCAGGAATGAGGGGTGAGTCCTCCTTAAGGTCAAGGGTCTTCTAACCTGACAGCTTACATGGCATGGAGGAGAGTGATGAATAATGAAGAAATGGTTCCTTCCCTTCCCAATGGAGCTCAGAGTCTAGTGGTGAAACAGTCATGGAACAACTCATTACAATGCAGTGTAATGCCAGTATCTAGAACAGTACCTGGCACCTACAAGCATTCCCTATTTGTTGAATAAATAATTGAGTATTATGATAGGGAAAGCGGAGGGCACTATAGGAGCCCAAGGCTCACTCTAGCCTAGGTATCTCCAAGACCTTTCTGAGTAAGGGGCTTTTAAGCTGAGACAAGAACACAACTCTCCTTGGACAACCCCCTGCACCATCCCTCCCTCTCAGAGGAGGACTCGTCACTCCTAATTCGAAGAGGAAATGGAAGCCATCAGTCGAGAAATGTCTTCAAACATATAAACTTACTGACTTCAGCATCTATCCTTTTCTCTCCTTCTTCCTAAAACCGATCACTTCACCTACCATTTGGATCCTTCCTTTCATGCCTGTCCAGAAATTTTATACCACTGTTTTAACTATTTTCTTTTCTATATAATCGCCCTCTTCTTCTCTATGGGATCCACTATCTTTCAATCTAAAAGTGGAATCTTTACTGACCTGACACTCCTCCAGTGCCACTTGCTGCTCTCGTCTCCCCTGCGCAGGTAAACTTCCTGAAAGAGTTGTCTCTACTCACTGTTGCCAGTCTATCAATTCACACTCACTCCTCAACCCTTTTCAATCATGTTTCCATTCTCAACACAGCTCAGTAACAGCTCCTACCAAGGTCAACATGACCCCTATGTCACTTAATCCAACAGACACCTGCAGGCCTCATCTTGCTTGTACTCTCAGCAACATTTGACACCAGAGCCTCTCATCCACCTTACACCCATGGCTTCCACACACTACATCGCTTGGGTTTCTTCCTACACTCTAGTTGTCTTATGGCTTTTTACACTCCTTTGCTGGCTCATCTTCTTCTATCAGCTGAAGTTTCTCATGGCTCGTTCTTATGCCCTTTCGTTTTTCTTGCCCGCTATTCAATATAGGTATTCATTCATGCCCATAGCTTCAGTTACCATCTATATACTGATTTTCAAATTTATACCTCCATTTTAGACTCTTCATCTGAGCACTAGACAGTACATTCAACTTTACTCAACATCTCTACATAGGCCTCTCAACTAACACGCTCACTCATGTTTCTCCCACCCAGCCCTAAATGGTCCTCTTTCAGGATCCTGGGTCATGGAATATAACCAGCCATACTGTTGTGCAAACCAGGAGTACCATCCTTGACACTACCTTCTCCTTTATTGCCCATATTCAATCCACTGACAATTTTCTCTCTGAGACACATTTCTAGATTTGATCTACTCTCCACACCCACTACCATCAATAATCCACACCAAGAACAAAGACCTTAAGACCCCAAATTCATAGCATGGCCTCAGCTGTCCTGCTCAGTCTGGTCTCTGCCTATCTCTCCAGCTTTGGCACTCTGCTCTCCAGCCTCACTGACCTTCCTTGATTCCTCAAAGACATCATGCTGTCTCTTTCCACAAGGTGTTTGATTTTTCTTCTGCCTGAAACCTTCCTCTACCCTCTCTAACTAAGCCTAACTAACTTCTACTCATACTTTATATCTCAGTTCAAATGTTCTGTTCTCAGAGAAACCTTCCTTGACTCTCTCCTCCTAATCCCCAGACCAGTTTAGTTTGTACTCTTGTGTGTTCCCAAGGCACCATCCACCTTTCCTTCATGGTATTTATTACATTTTTAATCTTATTATTATCTAATTCCCCCCTTTGACAGCTCCATGTAGACAAGGACCCAGCCTATTCTGCTCATAAATTATATCTTCAGTACCTAACATAGTACTTGGTATATGCTGGGTGCTCAAATTATATTTGTTGAATGAATAAATGATCAAATAGATGCATTTTTTTTTTAAAGGATCAGGGTAGTTAACAGGAGGTATACAAGAAGATATGCTATTAGAGCAGTCAAGGGAAAAAAATGGCTATGTGGCCTAGATTAAGTTTAGTAGCAGTGTGTATGGAGTGAAATAAATAGATTTGAAAAATATTTAGGTAGTGGATGTAGTGGATATTTAGGTAAATAGAACTTTGTGACATTAGATGTAGAGGTGAGGGAGTAGAGTTTAATCAGAACATTACCCAGGATTCTAGTTTGGGTAACTGATTAGAAATTGGCCATTCCTGAGAGTTAAAGGAAGAACAGACTCGGAAGAAAGGTAAAGAGGGAACATAGGGAAGATAATTCAGCTTGAGATCTGTAAGTTTGGAATTCCTGTTGGACTTTCAAGGGGATGTTGTGAGGGCAGTTGGATATTGAATCTGGAGTTCGGGAAAGAGGTCTGGGCCAGATATATAAATGTGGGGATCATCAACATACATACATACATACATACATACATACATACATACATACATACATACATACATAGAGATATATGAAATTTGAAGCCTTGGGCTTGAATAAAATACCCGAGGAGAAAGTACAGAATGAGAGGAGACAGCTCAGGACAGAACCAAGAGCTTCAATGACATCTCAAGGGAGGGGAAAGAGGTATCAAGTGAGATTGAGAAGAAGCAAACAATGCCAGGAGTGAAAGCAGGAAAATGCTTCAAGGAGAGTTGACACACACCACTGAACAATGAAAAGATAAAGGAGGATAACAGGAAAGTGTCTATTGGAGTTGGCCAGATGGAGATCTCCAGTGACCTTGGCTTGAACAGTTTCAATGGGTGTGAGATAGAAGATGAGTGAAACGGTTTTAAGAATGAATGAGAAGTGAGGAAATGATGACAGCAAGTGTAGAGAAGGTTTTGGCTTTGAAGAGTGGAGAGAACTAGGATTATGCTGGTAAATCTGGGAATGCAAGAAATGCACAGGCAGATTCAAAACAGGTTCAGAATAACCTCTGAATTGGCGGTGGGAAAACTGCTCCTAATGAGTGCTTCTGTGAGTGCTAGGCCTCCTGGTAGAACTGGGGACACAGCCGGCCCCAGGGCACACCTCTCGGTCGCTGAGGGCGACAGAATGCGGCTTGACAGATTCCAGGCTTGGGACCTGCAGGAAAACGCGCGGCCTCTACCTACCTCACCCCATGTCCCCTTCCCAGCCCTTAACCTCCCCTCCCCCCATCCCCGATTCCCTACCGCCCCTCGCTTCGCGTTCCCAAACTTGCCCCCTATTCATCCTGGAGGAGCAGATGGTAAAGGTCGGGAAGGCACGGTGTGAGGACGGACATGGATCCTACAAGGGGTGGGAGGAGTGGGGGGACAGGAGATGGTGGGAATGCGCGCGGTGGGAGGGCTGCTCGCGGGTTTGGGCCTGGCCGGGGGGCTGGGGCCGCCGTGGGGAAGGGTCTGGGGGGTCCGCGGGGCCCTGGGGGTCGGGATCTGGCCAC